GCCTCAGTCTCCTGAGCTGCTGGGATTACAGGCCTGAGCTACCATGCCCAACTGTCTTACCATTTTGACAGGTGTCAAAAATATATTTTTTTAATATGGGTTTTCCTCAGAAGAATTTGGCAAATTCTGCACAAAAGGAAAAAGATCTGAGGCAAAACCTTCTCAAAGGCAGAGCAAGACCTCAGGATTTTAGGCAGTGATGACCTGCTATTGCAGGTGCCTGAGATGAGAGCCATGAAGGGAGGTGTGATATGACACAAAGGATCTGTCTTTGCTTGACCTGAGGATACCTGCTGCATTTGGCAGAAGGCCCCTGGGTTGGCAGAAGGGATGCCTGTCTGGAAGTAAAGTGACAATTGTGGAAACTTGAAGGGCTTCAGACAAATAATGGGTCTTCCACTGGTGACAATTATGAGATTTTTTGAAGCTGTCGAATGGTGGTCTCAAGATTTAATTAAAAAAAGATTTGGATCTTCAGTCATCATTTAGAGACATCCTCCAAATGCTAGTGAACCTCAGGAACACAGGTAAACCAGAGGTGGACAGAACATCATTTTGATAAAGATCATTTACTTATGTGCAACAATTTGCATCTTCTATATCAAAGGTGAGATTTCTTCCTGTCTTTGGAATACCTTTTGTGGATTTTCCATGATGTGCACTGCAGGCTAATTTAATGCTCATTCAACAATAAATTAGGCTTATTAGTCTTCAACTTTTGTGGAGAGGTTTTCTGGCTTGTCAGGCGATTTTATTTTTAAGTATTTTCCTAATGCTCGATGTAGGGAAATCAGCCCCTGCCATTTATGCCTCAATAAAGGAAAGAAAACCTTAATAGTAAAATCTATCTTTGACACTCTTTGAGAAAATACCTGGCACATTGTCAAAATGCGGGGTGGTGAAGAGGTGAGACAACAAAACTGATAACCAAGAGAAAAAAGCAGCATTAGAAACAGTCACAGAGGAACCAGCTATGGACTGTGATAGAGGAGAACTTTAACACAACTGATCTATAGGTTCAAGAATTAGAGAAGAAATAGAAGATTTTTATGAGTACTAGAATTTACACAAATCAAATAGATACTCTAGAAATGAAAAAATCCATTATCTGAAATTATAACAGATGACTTTAATAACAGATTCTACTGAATTATTGAAAATGAAGGCCGATTTATGAAAAATATCTAAAAATGGAACATAGAGAAAATAAGGATGGAGGGGTAAAAAACAAAATCATAAAAGACATGCAGGAAATACCCAACATTTCTAAGAGATATGTGTCTGGACTTAAAATAAGAAAGACATAAAGGCAGAAACAATACTTAAAGAATTTAAAGAAATACTAGCCAAGAGTGTTCAAGAACAGATGAGCAGCTCCATGCAGAGACTTCTAGCAAGACTTAAGTGGGATTCAAAATTATTAATACCTTAAAACTTAATACTTATTA